CTGCATGTATTTTCATGAAAAGTATCATCCTAAATGATGTAAGCTAGGCAAAGAATGACAGATACTGCATAATTTTACGTATGTGAATGATTCTTTTTAAATAGTCAAATGTGCCTGGTAAAGTGGCTTATACCTACAATCCCAAGATTCAGGAGGCTGAGGAAGGAGAATTGGGATTTTCAGAATAGCTTAGGCTATAGTGTATGTAATAGTCTGCACAATATGCTATTAAATAAAAAAGTTTACATTTACAGTACTATGTCATCTATTTAGAGTTTGTTTATATTATATATATATGTAAATGTGTGTGTATATATATAAAGAAAACTACTACTGCTTTTTTGATATTACATCTATAGGTTTTTAGGTAAAAATATATAGTATGTACATACATATAAATACATACACATATAATTACACACATGTGTGGTAAGAAGGGAGGGAATCTCACACATAGCTTATGCCTATCCTAATGCTTGCTGTGCAGTTAAGGCTGGAATTCAGGCAGTTCTCCTGTCTCAGGCTCTGAAATAATGGCATTATGGCATGAGCCACTGCACATGGCTCTGTGTTTGCATTAGTTCTAGACTGTTATGGAGTAATCTACTATTACTTGTTATATTTGGTGTTATAATTTTAGGTTTGTAGGTGAAGAAAGGAGAAATGGTAATTGATTTTATACTTTTCTGTTTTTATTTGGTTGTATTTCATGTTTCGGGGTAGCTTCCTGACAGTACTTTTCTCATGTGTACAAAGCCCCAAGCTTTTGGAATGCTACTCTTTACACAAATAATTGCCCATGTGTTTTACCTAAGCCAGCACTTTAGGTTTCAGTATGTCTCATAAATTGAAGTTGGCCTGAGAGTCCAATAGAAAGACAAAATTGACTTCAATTTCAGGCTTCCTTGGGGGAGAATTCACCTTATCCTTTAAATGTCCACACACTGTGTTCCTTCTCTAAATGGTCTTCACAGTTTTAATGCTAATAGATTTTTATTACCTTATTTATTTTCTCAGTTAAAATATGCTCTTAGGAGCTTTAAAAATAACCGCACCTCTTTCATAAGCTTCTACTTAATAGGCATTGTCATAATAGGTCACCTTTAGCATTACTAATGCTGAGACCCCAGCACATTTCTAGCAAATCAAATCAGGTTTTATTTAGTTCAATTTAAAGAATGAATCAGCTTTGGATGTCTTCTAAATGAATTACAAATTAATTGGCTGAGTGTGTTCAGTGTTCTGTTCATTATGTCTTCCATTCTGACAGTAATGTAGGTTAACTTGCACTGGAGAATTTGGCGCAATAGAAATTCATGGAAATATTCATAATGGCAGTTGTGATGAATTATTTGAATCTCCCTAGAATCTTCAACAGTTGGTTTTATTCTCTGTTTTGAGAATTTTAACCACACAACTATTGTGCATTCATTGTAGAATAAACATATAATGTAATTCTAGGTGACAAATAAATTAAGGTTATACCCTTTGATCAAGAAAAAAAAAAACCTTAGATGACATGTTTGGATTCATTCATAGAAAATGTATGATTTAGTAATAGTACTTACAATAAATGTTATTTAACTTTTTAAGAAAGAAGGAACTAATTTAACTAATCATTTTTAACGTTTATTTTTAAGTTATGTGTATGTGTGTTTGCCTGAGTGTGTGCTTGTGCAACACATATTTGCAATTGCCTGTGAAGACCAGAGTAGGGGTTAGATCCCTTGGAATTGGAGTTATAGGTAGTTGTGAAGCATCCAGTATCAGTTCTGGGACCCAAATTTGGGACAAGAAAGGACAGTATAGGTTCTTAACTGCTGAGCCATCTTTCTAGCCCCTTGTAATTGAATTTAATAATACACATGTACACACACACAGACACACACACACACACACACACACGGGGGGGGGAAGACACGGAAACAGAAAGAAGAAAATCTCATTAAGCCTGAAGCTTGCCATTTTGCCTAGATTGGCTAAGCTGGTAAACATAAAGGGTTCAGTTAGCTTCATTTCCCAGTGCTGGGGTTACCTGGTCTGCACTGCTTTTTACATGGGACATGGAGATTTGAACTCAGGTTCTTATCCTTACACAGCAAATGCTTTTGCCCATGGTACCATCTCCACAGTACATATTTTATTTCCCACTTTTATCTGAATCTGATTTAGGAGGTCCTCCATGTTAAATTTGAGTTAGAAATAAAATGCTAAAGCGTATATGAGTAAGACGTATGCGAAGGGTAGTTTTAGCGCGGAACTAAGTGAACTTTATCTCAGGCAAAAGGCAGCACCAGAGCCCCCATTGCATTGCTTTTTCTGTGGAAAAAATGAACAAATGGCTATTTGCTCCAGAGGAAAGATTCCATCCAAATCCAGCCTGGGGAATCAGTGAGTTTGTTGGGCTTACGTACTGGAGCATGGATGGCTCAAAGCCACCTGCACCATACAAATGCCCATCCTAGAATATGTGTGATGAAAATCACTGAGCTGCCTCACAGAGCCCTGCACTTGATTAATCTGCAGTATATGCTAGCACTCCTGAAGGTTCTTGCAGTGAGGAGGCACACTGATTCTAGTCCCTGTTGAGGTCCTATACCCTTCAGTCTGCACTACCAGAGAGGATTGGTGGGTCCACTACCATTAGTAGAGTCCCTAGTATTGTGTTTTATTTCCTTACCTGATGAAGGAATCAGTGTTATCTTTGATCTGTGGTGGTAATGAGAAAGTCATATTTATTATGCTCAGACGAAAACACTATGCTACAACCTCATAACCCAAACATTATGATTTGAAACATTTTCTAAATCACTATTATCTATCTATATGTCTGTCTGTCTCTGCCTTCCTCCATAGCTCCCTCCCTCTTTCTCTTCCATTGTCACTCCACCCAACTCACTGTTCCTTCCCTCCACTGTACCCCACCTTCTTTCTCCCTACCCTCTACTTCTCACTTCCTCTTTCCTTCTCCTTTACCACATCACACAAACACATAGAAAATTTCAGGATATATATATGTGTATATATATATATAATTTTTAGATATTTATAGTACCCTTTAATATAATTGTATACATCATAGGGATAAAGCTTATAGATAAAAGTTAGATATATTTTTATTTCAACCTCTGCAATGAACCCTTTGTGCCCTACTAAATGAGTCCTTTGACCTTTCATTTTTGCCTTATCAGCAAAATGAAAGTCATTATTCTATCAAGTTCCTAGTTTACTTCCTAGGGGTGTGTCTAAGACTCATTGAATTAAACAATATATAAAGAATGTGGTATATTGTGTTTTTTAAAAGCCTAAAAGCAAAAGATGTTGAAGCTATAAATATTATTCATTTTTCACAATTAAAATGTCCTCTTACATTTTGCTTATTCGCCTTTTAAATTCAATATATTACTAAGGGTCCTTAAGTTTATAAACCTGAAAAAAAAGTTTATAAACCTGCTGCATTGTAATGAATTAAGAAGCAAATTGATAAAACAAATGGAATTGTTTGCAGTTTGGCCCAACTGGGAGGGAAAAAAGATTTATAGTTTCTCTCTATCTTTTCTGTAGCATTGCTAGAATTTAATAGAAAAAATTAAACAAGCTATGAAATATATATAGGTTAATTTAAGTTGTCAGAAATGTGTGAAATCACTTCTTAGGAATCAAGTACTTTGGATGCCTTTAATCTTTCTTTTTCTATCTGCACAACAACTCTGGATTATCATTATAAAGCAGCACACTGATGGATGCTATTTTTGGTGTGTGTGTGTGTGTATTCATATATGTTCAAGGTATACATATGTGCACAAATTTAGACATGTGTGTAGAGGCCAGTGTGTCATCACCAGGGATTCCATAGACTTCCTTTGAAACAGAATTTCTCATTGTCTTGGAGTTCATAAGTTAGACTAGGGTTGGCTGACCGATGAGACCCAGAGGTTTTTTTTTTTTTTCCTGTTTCTGTCTCCCAAACAGTAGGATTACAAAAGCACACAATTATATTGGGCTTTTGCATGAGTACCTAGGACCCAAAGCAGGTCCCTCTGCATGCAAACTGAGTGCTTTATTGTGTGAGCTGTGTTATCCCCAGCCCCCATCATTGTTTTTTTTTTTTTTGTAATATATGAATGGGAATGTGTGCAGTAAAGAAAAAAGTTTGAAAGAATATGAATTAAAATGTTAAGTGTTATTCTAGGTTTTTAATTTAAATTATCTTCTTGTTTATCTGTTTGTTGTAATGAACATGTTTGCATAGTGAAGAACATTACATTGCTGTCTGTTAAAAACAATTCTATTTCTTTCATACTAGTATACTGTATTATGGAAATTTAAAACAATGAAAATGTCTACTTTCATAATGAAGAAATGGTAAAACTCATAAAATCTATCTGTTATTTTGGTGGAAACTTGGGTTCATAAACTCATAGTCTCAGTTTCTCTGTATTTTAAACAATTTAATAAATAGAAATTAACAAAAGCAACTGAATTAATTTACAGTTTGGCCAAAGTGAGGGTAGTCTAACTTCCTCTCCCCTTGCTGGTAGTCATCTCAGAATTCATAGAAATCCAGAAAGCAAAGGCTAGAATATATATAATGGTAACTGTGGGATAGATGCGCCTGCCTCTGCCTCCCAAGTGCTGGGATTAAAGGCTTGCGGCACCATTGCCCGGAAGGTTTTTTTTTTTTTTTTAAATTTACATCTAGATAGAGGAATATGAGATCTTAAAGATCCACCAGTTTGAAAGAGAAGATAACATTTTATAGACTATGGATTCTCCTTTGTTCCAGAACTGATAAAAGTTCTTTGTTAAAAGTTTATTGCTTTGATAAATAGAGAATGCCTTTTTGGGGGAGGCCAGTTTGAACTCCTTACTCCTGTGTTCCCCTTAAACCTGCTAATTTTGCAAATGAACTTAACTTGGTACTTTTACTTCCCACCCTGTGAACCCTCTCAATAGTATTGCTTCCTTTGATCATAATCAATTTTAAATGTGTTTTCTAGCTCCAGGACCGTACTCAGTTCAGTGACAGAGACTTGGCTACCCTTAAGAAGTACTGGGACAATGGTATGACCAGCCTGGGCTCTGTATGTCGAGAGAAGATTGAAGCTGTTGCGACTGAATTAAATGTTGACTGCGAAATAGTTCGGGTAAGACATGTTCAGTAATTTTCATACCTTAGTTGATGAGGAGCATAAATGAAAGCTTGAAAACTAGCAGCATGGGGTATTGCCAATAATATCATTAATGAAATAAAAAGACTTGCATAAAGGAAGACATGCTTTTTCAAAATATGTATCTGATAAGGAAATTATGTCCAGAGTATATAAATAACACAACTGAGTGATAAAAGACAAATAAAGCATTTTTAAATAACTATATATATATATATATATCTGTTATATGTATAAATATTTTATGTACATTATATATAAACATTTCCCCAAAGTATGAAATTCTCATGAAACCAATGAAAACACATTTAACATTAATATATGTATATATACACATATACATAATTATAGAAATTAAAATCAAAACTCAGCGACATAATAACATCCACCATGATGGATATAATTAAAAATACAGATGCTCACAGGTAGGTCAGGACATGGAGAAACTAATACCCTATGCTCACCGCTGAGAGGAATGTTAGAGGTTTACATTTACACTTTAGAAAACTGTGCTCCAAAAGTTTAACATAGATTTATCTTGTGTTAGTAATTCTACTCCTGGCTTTATACTTACATAATAGAAAACATAGGTCCTCCAAGAGAACTCAAACACAGATATGTCTTATCCTTGTAGCCCTGAAGTGCAAATAAGGTATATGTCCTTCAAATGAATACATAAATGTAGTAGTAGGAGTGGTGGGGCTGTGCCCCCAGCACCCCGGCCACCTGCTAGCTTATGCCCCGAAATAATTACACGGACACTTTATTCTTTTAAACACTGCTTGGCCCATTATATTTAGCCTTTTCTCGGCTAACTCTCGCACCTGGACTAGCCCATTTCTAACAATGTGTGTAGCACCCCAAGGTGCGCTTATCGGGAAGATTCTAGCCTACTTCCATCCTGGGTGGGAGCTGAATCGATCGCATCTGCCCGGGAGAGGGGAGCATGGCCTCTCAGCTCACTTCATCTTCCTCCCAGCATTCTGTTCTGCCTACTCCACCCACCTAAGGGATGGCCTATCAAAATGGGCCAAGGCAGTTTGTTTATTACCAATGACCTTCCTCCATCACATAAAATATGGTATAGGCATATAATAGAATAGAGTAGGTCCACATAAAGAAAGCTGATGTTGATGCATGCTTCAAGAAGGAAAAGCCTTAAAAGTATTCTGTTAAGGAAAATAATCTAGTGACAAAAGCTCACATAGTATAGGATTAATTTTATATGAAATGTGCAGAACAGATACATGTGAAATCAGGAAGTAAATTGGGTTCACCAAGAACTAGGGGTAGGGAGATAAAGGTAATAAGAGGTAATGGGTATAGAGTTTCTTTTTTGTCATGATGTATTATTTACAGAATTTGTTGTTATTGATGCACATATCTGTTAATATCTTGAAAAATCTTAAGTTTATATGCTAAATGAGTCAATTGTATGATATACCAAACATTCCTAATTGAAACTGTTTTAAAAGTGTTACTACTATACTATGTAAAAGAAAGTGGCCACATCCAAACATTAGGTATAGCTTATGGAACCCTGCAGAAGACAAGGGAGGAAGGATTGTAGAAGTCAGGAGTTAAGGACACCAGGTCAACATGGACCACAGAATCAACTAACCAGAGCTCATAGGGACTCACAGAGACTGAACTGGCTATCAGGAAGCCTTCATGGTTCTGACCTAGATCCTCTACATATATGTTACAGTTATGTAGCTTGCTGTTTTCATGGGACTCCTAAGAGGCCGAGCAGGGATTGTCTCTGACTCTTTTCCTACTTTTAGGATTCTTTTTCTCCTACTGAGTTTCCTCATCCAGCCTTAGTATGAGGGTTTGTGCCTAGTCTTACTGAAACTTGATATGCCATATTTGGTTTATCTCTGGGAGACCTGCTCTTTTCTGAAGGGTAGTGGATATGGGAAAGATGGGAGATGGGGTTAGAAGAGGAAGGAAAAACTGCAGTCAGGATATAATATATGAGAGAAGAGTAAAGAAAAAAGAAAAATTGCATGAAATGATCTGAAATGAATCTCGTGTATTACAATAAATAATTGATGAAAATAATTGTATTAATCAATTGTGGGGATAGTAGTTTGTATGCCATTTGAAGGGCATTTATATGAGGTTGAGATTATTATGGTATTGTAAATATTTAATACTCTTTCTTTAAGGAACTGGTGCCTTCTTTTGGTTGTGGGTTTGTTTTTGGTTTTTTTTTGTTTTTTTTTTTTTTTGTATTTTTTCCCATTTACTGGTTTCTGTGTTACAAAGATTTCCCCAATTGAGTTTCCTACTCTCATTCAGCTTGGAGGTAGGAAGAAAAGATAACATTTGGCTTTGTGCAAGGGTATTACATGGTTTCAGCCCATACTTAAGGGTCATCTCAGAAGATCCCGAGGGAAGTATTTTTAAAGAACAAGTGACAAAACATAAAATTCTTCCAGATGAAATAACATTTTTTTTCGAAAATATAAAGAGAAGACGAGGGGCAAAGTTCTCTCAAAATAAATACAACTCTAAAAACATGTACTGTCCTAGTCAGAGCTTTGCTTTTTCTTGTTTTGATCTGGGTGTAAATCAATTTCAATCCTGTGTTGCTGAGTACGCTGCTGTGTGAGAGTGTATACTAACAATGAAAAAGAAATGCATCAGAAACATCCTGTTTTCAAAGAGTTTTGAGTACAGCAAGAGGATGATCCAAAAGAAAAAATAATTACCAGAGACCATATGAATGTGGAATTGTAGAATGGAGAACCTAAGTAAAGACCACAAATAGGGAAATGTGGGGCTTGTGTTTTTTTCAGTTTTATTTTTAAAAATCAAAGATGCTTGCTCTCTAAGCCATGGCCTACACTTAAGCCTCAGTTACCATGGTAGAAGAGAACTAGCTAGCACCTGAAAATTGTCTTCTGATTATCACAAGCACACTGTGGCATGTGTGCATCTGAACATGAATACACACACTCTATACATATACAGTATATGTGCACATATACATAAACACTAATAATAAATAAAGCACTAGATATGTTTAAATATATTGTTAATTGAAATAGAATTCTATCACTTTGCCCTCCCCTTTCTTTCCTAGACCCCTTCCCAGTTACCCTCTCATGTCCTCCCCAACTCTCAAGTTGATAACCTCTTCTTTGATTATCAGTGTTATGTATATAGAGAGAGATCAGGGAGGGGGGAGGGAGAGGGTGGGAGAGAATCAGCATTTTGAGGTTGTTAATAATTTTTCCCAAATGTTCACAAATTCATAAATACAACTTACTGAGTCCCTTGTTGTTTATGTATATGACTTCAGGGCTGATCATTCTGCATTAAACAACCCATGGGTAGGAGTCATCCCTAGGAGAGGCTAATTCTCCTTCTCCACAGAAAGTTGCCTATATATAGTTAGTTCTTTGTCTAGGGATGAGACCCACAAAATTTTTCCCTTTCATAATAATGTACCCATTGTTATTGCTTTTGTCCCAGTCTTGTTGATGCCGCCATTTTATGGGTGGATTGTTTCACCACACACTTCCTGGTATTCTGACTCTTACATTATTTCTGCCCTCTCTTCCATGATATGCCCTGAGACATAGATACAGGGGAGATGTTGTGCAGATGTATCTGGTAGGACTGAGCTCCCTACAGTCTGTTGATCTTTGCATTGTGTCCACTTGTAACATGGTAGTCTTTGTTTGCTATAAGAAGGGGCTCCATTGATGAAGGGTGGTAGGATAAGTTTTATTTAGAATGTAGTAAAGAATTATGTTGGTCTATCAAGGTGGCAGAAATAGATTCTTTTCTAAGGTTCATGGCCCTGGGAAGCTGGCTGTACTCTCAATACCAGGCATGATTTCCCTCCTACTGAGTGGGCCTTAAATCCAATTAAGACACCTGTTGGTTGCCATTGACATGAGTGTGCCATTTATTGTGCTTTTATGTATATCTTACCATCATGGTCAGTGTCATGATTCCTAGATGATGTAGCTGGGTAGGACTATTTAGCTGCTTCCCTCCCTTGAAAGTTCGCATAGCCTATTCTGGAACCATAGAAACTAGGGCACAGGAAAGAGGCTTTCGAGTCAGATGCAGCTCGAACCAGCTGAGTTCTGTGTCCTAAGTTGTGGTGTCTTCAGCAGCAGAATCCCCTTCAAACCCTGAGAGGCAACCAAGGGCTGCTTTCAGTAATCTATATTGTTTCATCAGTTACTTGGGACTACATGACCAACTATTTGAAAGGAAATTTCTTGTGCCTGGTACTGGGGGTTTTGTTAAGCTATGGTTCTTTTGGGGAACATTGTGAGCCCAATTGTCTTAACTTCCTTTAAGTTATTTGTATAAAACAGCTAAATAGTTTCAAGGTAAAGTTATACACATTGCAAGTTCTGTAGAATTTGTTTTAAAAACTTACCTGCTCTTTCCCTCCTATCTTTACAATAGCTGAAGTCAAACACTTTTTTGTTCCATTGATGATTCCTTTGGTATTTATTTCCATCTGTGAATTAGCTGTGAATTATAGAAACACTCAAAATAAAAGTGGCTTAGACAAACCCTTACAGTTTTGTCCAGTGGATATGCTGTCTTCAGCTAGTATAGAAATTCTAGGGGAGCCTTAGAGATACTAATGCATTCTATCTTTTTTTCTGTCACTTGTATGGTACAACACTTCTTCAAGATCCATAATGATGGCATATATAGCTCCTAGTAATACAACGGAGAGCAGAGAAAATACCAATAGTCTTTCAAAAAGAGACTGTAGAAACTATCGTTAAACACTTTCACTTCCATCAAATTGTCTAAAGATTTGTCACATGGTCATAACCAAACTGTAAGGAAGCTACAAATAGAGTTTTACTGTGTCAATCATGGGCTCAGCTAAATAAACCTGTTATTACTCTCAAACAAGGGAGAACAAACATGAGGAATATCCAGCTGGCTCTCACAAATCTGTTTACATTTCCACTTTTTGAAGCTTTTTT